CCCAACCACTTTACATTACACTACGCTACACTACAGTAACAACACTACACTACACTGCACTCCATTTCACTACACTACACGACGCTACAACAACAAATACAACTACAACCGCAACTACAAGCACAAGTGCAACTACATTACGCTACACTAGCCAATTTACAGTATATACGTTAGAATAATTACATTACACTACATTACACTACACTACACATTACTATACTACAACTACAACTATAACTACAACTACATTACATTACACTAATTACATTACACTACACTACACTACACTATACTACACTCCACTACACTCAATTACACGACACTGCACTGCACTGCATGACACTACACTACACTACGCTACTCTAAACTAGCTACAACTACAACTTCCAACTACAACTACACTAGATTACACTACACTACACTAATTACATTACACTACACTACACCACACCACACTACACTAAACACAACTACAGCTACAACTACAACTACGCTACTTTACACTACACTACGCTAGGCTACACTACACTACCCTGCAATACATTACATTACACTACACTCATTACACCACCACAGACGCAACTGCAACTGCACTACACTAATTAGACTACACCACAACTACAACTCCACTACACTGCAACTACAACTACAGCTGCGCTACACCACACTACATCCAGCAGTTGTGACTGAGGTGACCGACCAGGTGACCACTGCACAACTCCAACCACCTTCGAGTCCATCAGTGGATTCGCTCTGCCATCCGTGATTCACAAAAACAAAGCTCTCCTATAGGTTTCCTATTTTTGAAAGTTCCGCCACCGCCTTGTGTGGGTGCTACTGGTATTATAATGTAAAGATGGTACTCCACAGGGACACCAGACCCGTAAGAGGTAGATTTTCAGCAACCCCAGGATACCAACTGCGGCCCTGAGAGATGAACCTAATCCCTTCCTCCTAATACTCAACGTCCCCCAAATACTAAAAACAGGCGTCCATCTCCAATTTCAGAAAATTTCAGATTGGCCAATTTGATTTTTAATTGATCCCTTTAGAAAACAATTTAAAAGTCAACCTACCATTTGTGGGTTCCCCCCCTAATGCTAAAAACTAGTTCACCCCGGGGTGTTTATTATTTGGGTCCGTCCGATCTTTTTATTTATTTTTATAAAAGTTGATAATTTTAGTATTAGGGGGAAGCTTCGAAATCCGATTTTTGGCAATATTTTAATCGCGTTATATAAAGAAATTTCATTGATTTTGAGATCGGAAAAAATAGCTTTTATTATTGAGGGTTTTAATTTAATATTAGGGGGAAACTTCGAAATCCAATTTTTGGCAATATTTTAATCGCGTTATATAAAGAAATTTCATTGATTTTGAGATCGGAAAAAGTAGCTTGTATTTTTGAGGGTTTTAATTTAATATTAGGCGGAAGCTTCGAAATCCAATTTTTGGCAAAATTTTCATTGGAATTAAAATTTTGCCAAAGAAATTTCATTGATTTTGAGATCGGAAAAAATAGCTTTTTTTATTGAGGGTTTTAATTTAATATTAGGGGGAAGCTTCGAAAACCAATTTTTGACAATATTTTAATCGCATTATATAAAGAAATTTAATCGATTTTGAAATCGGAAAAAATAGTTTTTATTATTAAGGGTTTAATTTTATTAATAGGGTTCCCTAATAATAAATACCACCCTAATACTAAAAACTACCTGCCGTGTTTAGTAATAGGGGGGGGCGGCGTTTAGTATTAGGAGGAAGGGATTAATCTTAGGAGCTAGGGACGCCACATCGCAAGAACCCATCATTGTGGGTGGGGAGGATGCAAAGGTTGGTTGCAAAGTGTTTATGGACACAGGGCGCATTTTTGCAAGCACGTGCAAATCATGAAGGAAAATCACCGCTAAGCTTCATTCAAAGGCTCAAACAGTATCAAACTTATATCATCACAGGCATACTTACAATGACATCAGGTATCCAAGCAACAATTAGGCAATGAATCATGATATTGAAATAAACTCACTGTGCGCACCGTTCATGCGAAAAACAAATCATATATGACTAAATAACCTGTGCATATACATATATAAGAATTAGATAGAATTAGTCTTTAAACTTACTCATTTTTGATGCATATACGAGACTATCATACCATGTTAAACACATGTTCAAACACATTGTAAACTCACTTCAGAAATGGCAGTCTTGTGCTCCCCATTGTCAAGTGACGTGCAGTACTTCACCCAAGTCATTTGAATATGGATATGTCGTATGAAGTCATATGTCATAAAAATGCCTTCATGTCTTGATAACCTTGAAACTTGAGGGGTTAGAGGATTAGCAAAAGTCGCCTTCTGTTTTTAGCGGAGATGTCAAGGTGGAATGTGCGGCATTCCTTGGCTTTGACCAGACATCGCAGATTTCTGCAGTGACCCTGGCTGAAAACCCGTAGGACTCCAGCAACATATTTCTTCGACGTCACATCAACACTTTCTGAGTTACCCTGTGGCAGATCAACCTGGCAAATTTCACCATGGATAATGTCAACCCCGCATTGGCAAACCAGGGCTTACAAACTAATTATTAAGAGGATACCCCCAAAGAGTATCTGATACTCCCCCAAATCAAACAGCCCATCGCCAGGGCTTTATTCTGGTTTATTCCAGGGTTGGCACACGTTGGCACTATAGACATAGATGAGCTGTGTCCAAAAGGTATTGTTCTTCCGAAGGCGCTAAGAGAATGCTTGCGCGGCAGCTTACGCGCTGCTTGCGCGCCAGCAGTTTTAGCTTACGCGCGGGAATAGCTTACGCTGATGCTTACGCGGGCTTACGCACACCAGAGTTTTGCTTACGCGAGGTCCGTATTGCCACCCTCTTACTAGAAATGAAACAGGGGGTTTTGGACGTGGCTCAGATGATTTCTTTGATGAAAAATTAATGGAAAATGGAGAAGTGCATGAAACAACTTACAAACATCACAGCAACTGCTGTATGAAGAACTATGTTGAGCCGCGGCCCAGCTCAGAGACATGGACATGGGTCAAAATTAAGGCACCCACAAAGTTGGGAATGTTTTTGGTGGTTCTATCTGGCATATTTTCTAAGAATGCATTTGGTCTATCTTACAACATCTTACAACGTATTTAACAATCTATAATTTATTCTGGCACTTTATCCAGAATATATTCCGCCATTCTATCTGACATTTGTCTGCCATTTTAACTGTCACTTGATCTCGCATGCTGGCAGAGTGTTCTGGTCCGGCGGGCCCACAAGAGCCAGAGAGCTAGCAGTAATGTTCGTGTCCGGTAAGCCCCAGAGAGCCTTCAAGCTCGCAACCGTCCACAGCGCCAGGAATTTTGCGAGCTCGCCATTATCTGGTGAGCCGCAAGCAGATTGCGAGCTTGTCAAACGAAGCACGATGAGGAGAAGGAGGAGGGAGGGAGGAAGGACGGAAGGACGGAAGAAAGGAGGGAAAGAGGGAGGGAAGCAGGAAGGAAGGAGGGAGGAGCCGAGGAGCAAAATGATATCAAACCTAGGGACTTCACCTGGCAGTCTGGCAGGTGGGGAAATATTTGAAGCCACCAACATCCACCAACCGTTTTTTGTGGCTGTCAAATAATTTTGACCGAGGCCCGGGTCACAACTTGGGACACTAATTAAGGCCAAGCCTGGAGTGACACAGCCAGTGTCCTCGCATCGGTCTGGCCAGATGATGCAACGGTGCGGCGCACATGTTCGGTACGCCGTTTACAAATTCCACAGATGGAAACGTCCCATTGAGCCCACTAAGTCCCAGTTGGGGGATCATTGCCAATAATCATACTTGGGTGATGCTCATCCCAATACAAATATTGGACACGAACCACCCCTTGGATCAAGGCTGAATTACAAATCCTCACCTTTGGCAGATTTTCACACTACACCAGCCATGTCCACTTTGGCTCGCGCAGAGCTTCAAAATAGCAAGCACTCGCCTGGCTTTCAGCGAGAAATGCTAAGAAAGGAATAGAACTCGCCTGGCTTTCAACGAGAAATACTAAGAAAGGAATAGAAAAGGGTGCCCGGGTCACAACTTGGGACACTAATTAAGGCCAAGCCTGGAGTGACACAGCCAGTGTCCTCGCATCGGTCTGGCCAGATGATGCAACGGTGCGGCGCACATGTTCGGTACGCCGTTTACAAATTCCACAGCGTTCAGGGATGGAAATGTCCCATTGAACCCACTAAGTCCCAGTTGGGGGATCATTGCCAACAATCATATTTGGGTGATGCTCGAAGACAAATATTGGACACGAACCACCCCCTGGATCAAGGCTGAATTAGAAATCTCACCTTTTGGCAGATTTTCACACGACACCGGCCATGTCCACCGTGGCTTGTGCCGAGCCTCAAAATAGCAAGCACTCGCCTGGCTTTCAACGAGAAATGCTAAGAAAGGGAAAAGGGTGCAATTTCTTGAGGTCCATTTTAAACGGCACAGCCTGGAATGGCACCTCCAGTGCATCGTCGACTTCGACTAAGAGCCAAAATCGGCTAAAATCGATCATTGCCTACGTGGCAGGACACATTCTCGTCCGCAAGTCTTTAGCAGTCTCTGGCTTTCATTTCGAGCGAAAAAAAAATAAGCAACTTACTTCGACCAGGATCAAACTCAAGCTGCCATGGTGGAACAGACTTAAGCCTTAAGCCTCCCCCGCCGGAGCAATGCCGCAAGTCGCACCCCTCTGCCCCTCTGCTGGTCGTGCGACACTGGCTCGCAATCTCATAGACTTAGATGACAATCAAAAAAATATGTTGCTTAAATCCACACACATACACACATAGAAAAAGGCATTCATTCTCAAGAGCTCTCAAAACACTCAACATGTTCGTCGCCATTCACATTCACCAGCATCCATCGGCAGGGGCCAACTAATTCAACATATTCAACATGCATGCCTCAATTGCTTGGCCCCTGCCTGGCCGGCCTGTAAAAGTGCCTCGTCCTCGTGTCTAGGCACCGGCCGCAGACCGGAGGCCGCCCCGGATGGGGCCGGTGGGGGCCCGGAACGTGGCGTCACAAAACTCCGCAGCCTGCAAGGTGGAGGCTACGAAGATGGCCATGGAGCCAACGACATCGGCGATGTCCGCGCCACAGAGCGCCTCACGCTTGCCACGCTTAGGGCAATCCACAAAGGCCAAGGATAAGGTCTGCGCGGCATAGGAAAAGGAACCAAGGACCTGAGAAACCGACAGAGTACACAAGGCGAGTTATTAAGGAAACAAAGGAAAGATTTCAACAGCAAGAGCGATATATATATATATATACCTGGAGCTTTAATTGAGCAACTTTTCTGCTCAACCCTGGTTTTCCATATGCATTTCTTTATTCGAACGTTTTTAGCCAAACGAGCGGTTTCATGAAAACACGCATTTTTTATGAGTGTAAATCGAAGGGCTCAGTATGCACAACGAGCACACTTTTGCGCACACAAGCGCGCTTGCAAGATCTGCACATTCTTTTGAAACCAGCGTTTGGGTAAAGCGAGCAGGAAAGAATGCTTTTTGGAAGCCCCAGGTGCTCTCCTTTATATTTGCGGTTGGGTTTGCTTCCGAGAAATCTAGAATGTGTTGGCTGCAGAACGTATGCGTTCATTCTACCATCAGGAAAATTGAACCATGTGTTAAGGAAAATCAGAATTAACAAACCAGGCAAGTCATCAAAGTGAAGCGGCCATGTATATCTTAGGAATTGTAACAAGTCACCAAGTGATTTAATTAACATCATCAAAATTGCTAGCATGAGTAACATGAGTGAATATAATATTCATAAATATATTATATATATGTGTGTGTACAGAATTTTTTGGATAATATAATATAATATAATATAGTATAATTATTTATCGTACCCCCCCCCATTACTTAGAAACTACTGGGTGGGCATGCGGCATGCAACCATAGTTATAGGGGGCCCATGTCCCAACTTATACAGTAGAGTAGGGGTTAAATATCCTAAAGTCATCTAACTGCACCCAAGTATGATCTCATCCTTTTATCTCCATTAATGTGGGAAACCGTAAGCCCAACAGTAAACCTTCCCGTTAACCAAACATGGAGGTCATGTTACCGTTACAACATCCCAAATAGGGGCATACCCAACAATGAACCTCTTTTAGGGATGGTCTACAATTAGGTTTACCACATTGAAGCCCATTATGTTCCCATCAAAAACCACCACTTTCACCTCAAGGGTGCAAGCTGAGGGCCAAGTTGGTCTAGTTATAAGTCGACCCAATTAGTTATCGTCTTGGGGCCTCACCCAGTATACATCCCTATGAAAAATCCCATTGTATGAGTTCGATACCCATTCTATCCCCATTACATGATGATTACATGAACTTTCCTGGGGGCTTACCGCCACACTTTTGAAGTCAATGTGTGTTTGTTCGCGTCAAATAGTGTCAAACAATGCATAATAATGCATATATTGCTTCAAATAGCGTAAGGTAGTGATAGGTAGTGCTTATATAGCGTTGATTATCGTTAAGTAGAGTCGATTAGCATCGCAAAATCACACAAACTCAAATAAATGCAAATCACAAAGGGGCCTGCCGGGTTCAAATATATCACCAATATTTCATGCCAATATCTCTGTAATACCAACTTGCGTGGATATATTTAGGCACCAATTTTTAAAATGACATACTTGATTCCAAGTCTTGCAATGCATTGTTTTGGTCTGAGACACATGATATATGCACATTGCCGATGAAAGTGTTGCTGCGATGATTCCTCCAATGCTGTTTTCGGGTTCTTGCTTTCAAACGATCGAATGGTTTGGTCTATAAACTCCTGCATAGTTTACATAAATAATGCTAGTAGAGCAATAACAAACCACCCATATCTTGACGGTTTGTGAATCCTATTTCTTTCTAGCACTATAACCAACCATTTTCACAGGGTATGACCAGCCCAGGTACAACATTATCACCACTAACCATCCTGAACCATTCTCAGCCACAAGTGACTATTAATGACTATTAATGACTATTATTATCTATATATATATTATATATAACACGCTTAAACCACAATCACTAGTCATCATTAACCATAATAAACATTTATCAACCATCCCACCATGGCCCAGGTACATACAAGACATCCACGGTACAGGCCTTTGGCTCCGGACAGTTGCGCGAAGCCTCCTCGATTGAGAGCAAGGCACGCATCATCCACGTGGTGGCGGCCACGCTGTCAAAGACACAGTTGGCCAGGGCAAAGTTGCGTTCCTGTGGTGGGATCTTAAAGGGATTTCGTAGGATTTCGTAAGGAAAAATTGTGATTTTATCAAATTTCATGGTGATTTAGTGGAAAAGATTTTGTCTTTAGTGGTGGGTTAATGCCCCAAAAAAGATTTTGTGAAGAGTGAAGGTTTCGTGGAAACAATTGCGATTTGAAGTTGGAAACACGGTTTTTTTGATTTTTTCACATATACCAAAAACCTCCCCAACATGAACCAAATATACGTACAAATAGATCCATAACTACTCCAGGGTTTGGGGCGCATTTAACATTAGAAAGGGATGATACCGGGGATCATCATCTGAGTCATGCTAGGCAATGCAACGCACTGCTATGTAAAGTGTACGCGTATAGGTAGGGGCTCAACATAATCAACATAGGATCTGCCCACGGTACCTGCATCTATTCCATGAATAAACAGGTCAGCAACAAGTTACATCATATATAATGGGGTGCAAGCGAGATACTACGTGGGAATTTGTGAAAAAGTGTGTGTGTGCACAAAAATGTAAGCAAATCCAGGCAATTTGATAGCCTGATTCAGAATCTATTTATCACCCAATTTCGTCGGAAAATCTACCACCAAACAAGCCATTCAGGACTCCCTCAGTCATTCAGGAGCCCGCTTTTTGTAAATTGAAAGGTTGCACCAAGCCCGTGGTTTTGAAAATGACATGAAAGAACCCGTTCAAATAAGAACAAACTCTGACATGTATGTACATGTTAAATACATACATCACACCACATCACACCACATCACACCACATCACATCAATTCACACCACACCACATCACAGCACATCACATCACATCACAGCACATCACATTACATACGTACATACATCACAAGGTTTGACGCACTTCTAATCACTTCTAGATACATTAGATACTACACACACCTTTGAACCACTTGAATGGCAAATGGCGTTGCAGCCTCATACTGTAATGGCAGGATATGGTAGGACTATTAATGATAAGCCAACCTCCAGCAACACAGTCAGCCAAAATAATCTTTCAAATCTTTCAAAGCACCACCCAGGCTCGGTGTTGTAGTTATGTTTGGCATCCACTGCTCTGACCTTCTGCAGTTTGCTCACCAAATCGCGAGGAAGTCCCTTGCTCTCGGCATCAAACAGCACGTTGGACAACATGGCCCGGCCACCGGCTGAGGGCGCCGTCAGATTTCGGAGCTTCGCGGCAATCTCGGCAGACTTGGCGCGGTAGGCCGTGAGGTTCTGCGCGCCTCTGGTGCTCCGCAGGCGCCGCTCCTCGGGTTCTGGGAGCAAATGCTGGTACCACCGCTGATACACACGCCTTAGTTGCACTTGGGGAGCCATTCCACATCTTGCTGGAGTTGGAGATAGAACATGATGGAACAAGATCTATGTAAAAAAAAAGCTAAAGAAAGTACGCCCCACCCTTTAAAGAAACGCACAGTCTCCAGCTGGTCTCCCTGGGCTTGGTCAAATAGCAATCTTCATCAAAGCCGTAGATCGTGGACCCTGCCGTGGCCAAATCCCTCAGAATGGCTGCAGCACATGAACCGCCCTGGGAGATGGTAGCTGCACAGGTGGAGCTGGCGCTGGTTAGAAAGGCAGTGAGCCACAGAATGGAAGTGATGGCATGAGCCACGGGAGCCTGGAAGATGGGTTGGTTCATGAGGAAACCATGGATTTATGAGCAACTATGGGGCTTCTTGCAACATGTCCTGTAAACTCTCATCGGCCATTTGAGATGTCTTGAGCACCTCTGTGATCCTCTGTGTGCATTTAAACCTGACATGATACATTAATGTGTAAAGGTACGTGTAAATATACCCCTCCAAACAAGAAGCATGTATATATTTTGCCCACGGCGCATTGACAAATGTGAGCCGCGGAAAAATACGTGCATCGAACACGAATGATATAACACATCGTTGGTTTCCCAGTCATGGCAACTGCTCCTGTCAACCTGGGATCAAAAAACCCAAATACCACTCCGATTATCAATAAGGGGGTACCAAGCTTAGTAGGAACATATCCCAAATCATAGCATTGTATAATACACTAGTAGTTAGGGCCTATTATTCCGGGTAGGTCCAATAATTAAATGTAGTTATGTAAGTCAAATAGGTTCAAAATGAGATCACCCGCATTCAGTTCGTAGGAGCCGTACAGCCCAAAGGCTCATCATCAGGACAAATCTCCGCGCGGTAGATGTTCACCACAGCCTTCCCCAAATAGGTTGCCGCTTGCACTGCATCGATCACACAAGTGGTCTTCACGATGCTGTTTTCCTCGGAAAAATGATGGCTTATGTCGCTGATGTCAGGTGAATTCAACACTTTTCTCGAGAGTGGGAGCCAATGATGGGACGTCATTTCACAATTTGAAGGAAGGGCCACTTCAAGCTTCCACAGTCTCACACACTTACCCGGGATATTTTTCCAAGCATGGGATTTAGAGGCTTGAAATCTGTCTAGCCTTGAGCTGAGCATGCGTTGAGCTTTGGGATTGGCGGCAATTGGGGTCGCAAAAAGTTTGGGAATCAATGATTAACATTAAAATTATATATCTTTTCAGCACCCAGTTGTAACAATGTCACAGTGTCAGTGGGGTAGTCTTCATACCGCTCATCTGGCTCATCGAACAAGTTCACATCGAAGAGGTGCCGTTGCTCCCGTTGCTCCCGGCGGAACTCGGAGTGCAAGGGCAACATGAGATCACGATCCGTTGGACCATCCGCGGACGGTGAACCAGCCCCTGGGGCAATGGCCAGCCAAAGAACCATGCACAAAAGCCTCGGGGTGGCGAAGAAATCTCAATTTTGGATTGGGATTTATAAATCATCCAGCTATCGGGATATCCCATTTGTGGAACCGCCAATATATCCCCACCAAGTTTTTTTGCTATCTAACGATTAGAATTCATGCTAATAATTGTACCTTACTTGTCTTTTTTACGGGCATGTCATTATTTTAACCTGCCACAGAAACGCAGATTTGGCAAACCTTAACATTGGAAGACTTTGTCCCCCCTCCACTGCGCACACACAACTGAAAAGAATGCAAACACTACAACCCCAAAAAATAATACACTTTGTATACATCGGCATGCTGGTCTGTTGGTTAAAAGTTGTTTCAACACAAGCTGTTTCAACACCAATTCCGTTGGGGTAGATGGCAACATATGGCAACAAGTGTCTTCTCATACATGTCATGATTCTAGAGGTACGTTACAGTATGTGTAGCAACTCCCAAAAGATAGAAAAGTCTATGTTTTGATTCTTTTTGGCGGTTACTACCAATGAATTGTAATAATTGGAACTGAGCCTGAGTCGTTTGCCTTCATATTAAGCGTACCAGCTGCCATGGGGGACATCGTCCAGTTGCCAATCAAGACACCAGAATTTAAATAGAAAATGGGCAGATTTCAATTTTTTGGGGTCGCATTGTATCATATTTCACATTATATAAGAACAAATCATCACTTGTTGGCACTAGCCCCGAATAATTTAGATGGTCAGCCATTGTTTTCCCATGTTTCTTCAACTGGGGTTGACATTGACTATCATACGGTTTGGAAACTCAATTCGTAGCCCCTTGGCTCCCTGTAAAAAAAGGGCAATAAGGATAGCCATAGCTCCGTTGATGATTTACAAACTTCCAAGATCATCCTGCATTGCCAGACTCCAAGGAACAGCAGGTTGCCCCCCAGAAGTCCAAGCACCAAGGGCCCGGATGCCCGTCGCCAGCCTCCTGTACTGAGCACCTCGTTTTGAGCATCGGCAATCAGCCATTGGTCTTCCACCGCCATGGCAGGTGCTGCAACAGTTCGGGGGCTGGGATGGGGTTTGCCCAAATGGCTTCGGGATTTCACTTGATCTGACATCATTTGACCATATCTGACCAATGGAAACTGAAACTGAGAATTGTACCCCAAAAACTGGGGCTGCTCCAATTATAGTCTATAGATGGTATTCCACACAAACCAGACCCATAAGAGGTAGATTTTCAGCACCCCCAGGATACCAACTGGGGCCCTGAGAGATGAACCCAAGCTTAGGAGCTAGGGAGGCCACATCGCAAGAGCCCATCATTTTGGGTGGGGAGGCAAGCCCTCGAATTTTCCATTGGTCAATTCCAGCCATATCTCTCGGAGACCGGAGGGTTACCAAGGCCAGCACTCGTACATGCAAATGGCCGCAGCGTGTGCCACATTCAGAGATGCGCCCCGCACCTTCAATGTTCAGCAGGAAGAATCTCATGGGGAGAATAAAAAGACAATGAACTAGTGAACGGGGGTAGTTGAGATTATTGTACCGTAAGTGACATGGATCTCGGCAAATAAAAAATGATAGTGATCAATAATGAATAATGACTTTAATTTATATAGTATATTAGTGCGATAGCAACCACAGCATGGTTGTTGTAATCAAACATTTTGTGTGCACTATGTGCACTAACATAGTGGTAATCCAACGTTCATTAAAAAAATCATTTGCGATGATTTCGTCTTTTCACTGCCGCGTATGCTTTCTTGTGACACCGGCCACTACGGTCACAACTCGTCGCTCCAAGAAAAAGTGTTGCTGATCCCAGCAGTGCTGATCGATGCGTCTTTTGGAGATGGTTTCACAATGTTTCAACAGATTTTGGCTACATCATGCCACATATTAACAAACGTTCCACGCTACCTTTGAATCCTCTTGAACCAACCCTCGATAACCCTTGTCACCGACCTGCTATTTGCCTTCATCCAAGGGTTGCTCCCTTACTTGGCACCTGTGGAACGCAAAGAAAGTCGTCGCAACATTCGAGCACTTCAGGGGACACGCCTCCCAGGCATCAGCCAAAACATCCAAAGGATCAAGGGCAAAAAGCAGTTAAGCAACTTAAGTAATGAGTAATTCTGGCTCTGCATCGAATGATATCGAATTTTCCTTGCTTGGCGTGTGAAAGCTGCAAGGTTGGTTAACAAAGTAGGCTAAAGCATCCTTTGATGCACCGGCGGGCTCCTTGCAAATCTTATGGGACATAAACAGGGTGCTCATGACACACCTATATATATATATACACATATGACTTATGACATGTTGTAGTCAACTCCCAAGATAGAGACATGAATTCGCAATTGACAACGCATTGCTCGGATTTCAGGTACCCAGTCACTGCAGCTCTCAGCTCCGGATAGCATGGCACGAGCGCCCCGCTTCTTCAAACGCCCGGAAGGTCATGTTTTTCCGTCGACGCCCATGAAACTGGCCTTGATCCTGTGGCCAAGACGCTTGGAGATGCATACTACCGTAATTAAGCAAAGGAAGTTTCATGGAGGAAACTCCGAGTTGCGGACTTTCACATTCTCACGAGCCCAAAGATCATTTGGCATGTGTCCAGTAGGGTATTTGTTCCGCAGTGCTGTGTTGCAAGCCTGATTGTGTTTTGCAACTCACTGTTGCTTAGATCGCATTGGAACTGCTACATCATGGATGCGATTTGAATGTTTGGATTCGTCCGAAACATTGTGTTTTTTCAGGTTAACAGAGGTTCCGTTGCACAGAAAAGTTGGCTCGCGTGCGCGACGGGAGTAAGCGTCGCCACTTTATACCGTGGAATCTGTCTCGAACTGCGCGCGCAATGTAGCTGAAGGTTCCAGGTGACTTTTTCTCTTTATTGCTGATGCTGTGCTACTGCTATTGTGTTTAACAATTCGCTCTGTGCAGATCGGAGTGGAATGGCTGCGTCAAGCCTTCTCGAAGGGTACTTGTTCCGCAGTGCTGTGTTGCAAGCCTGATTGTGTTTTGCAACTCACTGTTGCTTAGATCGCATTGGAACTGCTACATCATGGGTGCGATTTGAATGTTAGGATTCGTCCGAAACATTGTGTTTTTTCAGGTTAACAGAAGCTCCGTTGCACAGAAAAGTTGGCTCGCGTGCGCGACGGGGTTAAGCGTCGCCACTTTATACCGTGGAATCTGTCTCGAACTGCGCGCGCAATGTAGCTGAAGGTTCCAGGTGACTTTTTCTCTTTATTGCTGATGCTGTGCTACTGCTATTGTGTTTAGCAATTCGCTCTGTGCAGATCGCAGTGGAATGGCTGCGTCAAGCCTTCTCGAAGGGTACTTGTTCCGCAGTGCTGTGTTGCAAGCCTGATTGTGTTTTGCAACTCACTGTTGCTTAGATCGCATTGGAACTGCTACATCATGGGTGCGATTTGAATGTTAGGATTCGTCCGAAACATTGTGTTTTTTCAGGTTAACAGAGGCTCCGTTGCACAGAAAAGTTGGCTCGCGTGCGCGACGGGGTTGAGCGTCGCCACTTTATACCGTGGAATCTGTCTCGAACTGCACGCGCAATGTAGCTGAAGGTTCCAGGTGACTTTTTCTCTTTATTGCTGATGCTGTGCTACTGCTATTGATATTGTGTTTAGCAATTCGCTCTGTGCAGATCGCAGTGGAATGGCTGCGTCAAGCCTTCTCGAAGGGTACTTGTTCTGCAGTGCTGTGCTGCAATTCTGATTGTGTTTTGAAACTCACTGCTGCTTAGATGGCATTGGAACAGTGACATCCAAGATACGATTTGAATGTTAGGATGTGCGCTAAACGGCCAAACATGGTGTTTTTTCGGGTAAAGGAGGTTCCGCTGCGGAGAAAAGTTGGCTCGAGTGCGCGACAGGCTATAGGCGTCGCCACTTTACCGTGGAATCTGTCTCGAACTGCGCGCGCAGTGTAACTGAGGGTTCCAGGTGGCTTTTGCTCTTCTTTGCTGACGCTGTGCTATGGTACTTAATTTGCATGTGTTGAAACGCTTTGTGCACTGGAACCGGTGCATCAAAGCGATGTGTTCTATTGTAGTGTGATGCAATCCTATGGTAGTTTGCGTGTGTTGAGGTACTTTGTGCATTGGAACTGGTGCACGTTGGGCCAATAGGTGACAGTCCAGTAGAATTCAAAGGTAAAACAAGCGAAAGTTGCAACAGTGATTGTGTCGCAGAGACTGATTTAGAAAATCGAAGACGGATAGTTTCCCCGAAGGTAAAGTTTCCTTGAAATAAGCTGAACGCAACTTGAGCGAGTCAAACGGATCGACCGAATGGAAAGGCAGGTCGCCTGGGCTGAAAAAAGAAAATGTGCACTTGTGTCACTTCAACCGGGCTGAGAAAAATTGGACAAGTGGAACATAAAGTGGAACTCAGGTGAGGTGAGCCAACACGAGTTCAAAGGAGTTGAGACGAGAGAGATGAACGGAGAGTTGAGGAGAGTCAAGATGTGCACAGAGATGAAGGTCGTTGAGAAGACTTGACAGGAGGTGAGAAATCGTTGGAAGAGTTGGGACGTGGTTGGAAGAGTTGCGACAAGAGGTGAGAAGCCGTGGAAACAGCATGGAAGTCTGCGGCAGCTCCTATAGGCAAACCTTGTCTATGGATCCTATAGCGTCACAGTCCTTAAACCTGGAAACTTCCGCCACCCGCGTTGCGCGGGATTTACTTGTAATATCAAAATTAATTGATCGTGATTGGCATGTTTCTTCATGACACCCTCTTCATGCCATATCTGCCGGCCAATTTCTGGGTGTGGATTGTTGGTGGCCATCACCCGAAGCATCAAAGTGGAAAATACAGAGCGGGTGACACTGTTTTCAGTGTCCGTTTGCGCCTGGAACCAGCCATTATCATCCACTAGTTTGGTTGAGAGAAGAGGGGTGCACAACTCCATTGGTGGCCACACCTTACTTGCCAGATTCATTCGAAATACCCGGAATTCTTGGTAACACATAAAGCTATATAACGATGCGATTTTTTTGTGTCATCTTGTAGCCATTTTAATGCATCTAGATTTTTTGGACAAGAACAAACGCTGTGCTTATGACATCGGCTTGAACAAAGAAAGTTTATTTTTGCAAAAGAAAAACAAAAACATAATCACAAACAGATTCACTAGAAAAACAAAACAACAGGAAAGAATCAGCAGCAAAAACAAAAAGGAACCAGAAAACACAAAAAAATGCATGCTTCCCAATTTTTGTTTATTGTTTTCTTGTTGTTTTTGTTGTTTTTTTATTTTGGTTTTGTTCTGTTTGCCCTGGTGTTGCTGTTGAAAAACCATATTCCCCGTGCTGTTGGGCTCATAACTCTGCGCCAAAATGGCATCTGAACCCCCCTGTTTGCATCTCGTCCTCTGCATCTTTTCCTCCGTCGCTGCATTGGTCTTTGCTGCCCTCCTGAGGTCCCAGCTGGGACCATTTTAACAGTAGATTTGTCACTTTTCGGCTGTCACCCCCTCTACAAGAACAATTTACCAGAATTAACATTCATCCAAAGTTAACCAAATGTTTCCAGACGAGGGTCGGGAAATTATAATTGTTACTCAAATGGGCAGACTTAATCCATTTCCTCTGGAGCAACTAACATCACTGGAAACCTAGATATTTCCTTTAATGGAAGATACTTGTGAAGCAAGGGTTTTTTGAGATTACTCCCCTATACTCCCCTTGTTCACCGTAATTTGCCATGAGCTTTGTGGTGCTGTCGCTATGATTTACCGAAAAGAACCCTAGTGCAGGTGACTGGATATGCACATTCACGGTTTGGAAAAGCTAGCTTTAATCGACTTTGTGCTTTGGAGATGGGACTACCAAAACCAAGCTCTACTGAAACCCTACTAAACCAAACCATTGTCGCACTACCGCTATGGAAAATCATGGATAGTCACCATTGTTAAATAGATAAATGGTAAATCATTGAACTAAATTTGTTTTCTTCATTCTTCCACAGCTATGTTTGATTACCCGAGGCTAGCTATATCCTTCGCAAACCGCACCTGCTCTGCAGGATGAAAATGCCGCTTTCACAGGGTGATCCGCGGATCATCTTGTTGACGTGCCTTGGATGTCCCACAGGGTATGGTCCAAGAATAGGGCCACCAGACAAACTATATACAACATGCGATTATTTTACTTATTGTTTCATAGTTCTACCATGAAACCGCCGATTTTGGGGTGAGAAACACCGTAGTTCTCAAATGGAACATTGGAAATTCGTCTCTTTTCCTTCTATACACTTGAAAACAAGAAAATAGCCCCATCCAACATAGACAGAATGACAAAGTTTTCCAGAACAGCTCGCCGTCTTCCAACCCTCCAAAAGGCGTGTCAAGGTGCTGCTCGCCGTCAACGTACTCGTGCGTGTTTCTGGGGCAAGTCACCTGCCAGATGAAGCGTGGTCCGGACCCACGTGCTTTGGGGGGTCCTGAATTCCTTGGAGAAGCCAAAGGGCTCAAGGTGATAATAATCGAATACGCATACATATGATCAAAGGATATTAATGGTGGATTTCTCGCCGCAACGAGCTTTCTTGGTCAACTCTCACCTGCTGAACAAACAACTTTTGCAAGACGCTGATGTGCCATCGATCGTAGCACCGACCCGGCGCCTGCGCTCGCAAGAAGCGACCTCAAAGTCAGCCGCTTGGTCAGGGACAGTGGTCTTCACGGGTTCCAGCCAGGCTGGCTCTACTTAGTTTCTGTTGGTTAGAAGTGCATGCCATATCATGACTGGCTGGTTCCAAGTTTCAAAAGAAAACATCACTCAGCTCGAGCAAGATTACCCCCAAACAAGCCCGGAGCTGGTTATTTTCGCAACCCCGTTGAAAGGAATTAATTTAGATATAGTGGGATGGGATTAAACCAAAGCGAAGTGATCAAATATGCCATGTGTCCCCCAAGTCGGCTTGCTGTCAGCCATTTTGGAATAACATCAAATGGGTTGAGAAGACATGTCAGACACACCTCACAAACGGAGATTATCAAATACCCAGGCGCCTCCCTACAGTCATGCTATCTTCTAGGATAGGCTCCCCTTTAGGCAGTTCAAGCTCTCAACTTTGCGACCCATACCAGTAGTCAGTCAGGGTCTCCATTCGCCCAAGCGGCTTGCACCTATGGCCTCCAAAGCAGCTTTCCCAGAGCGGCTGCCGGCATTGGCCTATGCTGGAAGCAGGGAAACGTCTGGCAACGTCTCCACGGTGCTACTGGGAGCGGATAGTACGGGAATATCTTGCACTAGCTATGGAAAATGGCGCACTTAGTATTGCAAAATTTTGATTTCCCGTAGTTCACTGCGAAGTTACCGGAGTGCATATCATGGGCTGGAAGAGGATGGCCACACCAGTCATCTGCAAGCCATTCATACCAGATCATGCCAGTACGGTTTGAAAATATTTGGATGCATGACTGAACAACAAGCGATAGCACTAGGGCAAGCTCCAATTGGGCCTATTTCGAAGCATTGATGTGGAATTCACACAGGATTCACTTTGGCACCTTTTGGGCTTGCAATTTATCCAGTGAGCTTTCCGCTTTCTTCGCAGTGGGAGGGAGGGCTGAATTGCACCAAGTTGTGCGAATGCTTGACAGTTAGCAGAACAAAATACAACATGGCACCCAAAGTGACTGAAAATCGTTTTTACCCGTTCCACACACACATATAATATAATATATATATCATACAGCATTTCAATTCTTTGAAGGGGTTACTCTTCCATCTCCACACTTCCAGAATCTTCCATAGGGACCCAGTCATCTGCCCAAAATAGAATAATTGGCGGTAGTTGAGTCTAATTTCGTTTTTCCGAAGTGACATAGTTTGACGTTGGGAAATTGCGAAATTAACAGCTGACGTCGTGACCAAATGCAGCTTTCAGGCTCCATCCATGCACCCAAAAGAGCGGTTGCAGTCGGTGGTTTGCAATAGCGCATTGATTTGGTTTCATGGTTTAACAGCAGCTTGGCAGCTTCTTCAATAACAGGAGACACAACAAGCGTGGTAGACAGCTGCTTGTTGGGGCGATTGCAATGAGCTCTTCTGTGACTTGTTAGGAATGACACAGCTGCAGTTCTGAAGGGTGAAGCGGTGTTACGAGAATTTCCAATCGCCTATGTTTTCGAACTTTTTGGGGCTGAAGTGACCAAAAACCATAGTTGGTTTGAAATTTGAAATCATAGCTTTTTTTGGGGGGGACGGCCTCTGTAGCTTAATTCCAAGAAGAGCAGAAGAAATTGAACTCAAGACCCCGCACGAGACATTGCTCCCCCGGCAGAACGGGTGAGCCTTACGGTGCCTTTTAGCGGGTCAAGCCGTTCGTTGTGTTGCCTGGGGTCCGAAAGAAGGCAAACACTTAAGTCCTGGCCACAGCACTACGTTCTCCTTGGTTTTATTTTTCATCTCTGTTACTTTAGCCAGAGCCTCTATAGCTCAGATGGTAGCACTGCAGACTCTTAAGCCAACTTGCTTGAATTCGATTCCTTCTGCTGTTCTTGGAATGAAGCTATAGAGGCCACCAAAAAAAATAAGCTATGACCTCCAATTTCAAACCACCTATGTTTTTTGGTCACTTCAGTCCCAAAAAGCTCAAAAACATAGGCGATTAGAAATTCTTCTCTTGACACTGCTTCACCCTTCAGAACTGCAGCAGTGTCAGTCCTAACAAGTCACAGAAGAGCTCACTGCAATCACCCCAACAACCAGCTGTCTACCACGCTTGTTATGTCTCCTGTTATTGAAGAAGCTGCCAAGCTGCTGTTAAACCATGAAACCAAATCAATGCACTATTGCAAACCACCGACTGCAACCACTCTTTCGAGTGCATGGATGGAGCCTGGAAGCTGCATTTGTCCCTACACAAAGCAGGCTTGCACAAAATGACACACAAAGCAGATTTCCAAAAGCCAGGTCCTAATTCGGAGGTGGCGTCGGGTAACGTCGTTATAATTTGACCAGGGTCATGGCTTGGAATCATACCCATTAAATGTGATAGCTTGTCACCCCATCTCGCTACACCAAAGTTCATGCCTCGTCATGTCATTTCCTGTACTGAATCTTACCATCCTTAAAGGGTGCAAGTTTTTCCCACAAGTTGAAGCCGGGAAGCACAAACAACTACCACAAAGGTCAGTGCTGACTTCGCAGCTTCTGCTGCCACCAGGCAATCCTCGAGCCTTGGCGGCCCATGGCGGTATGCCGGCCACAAGGTGAGCCGGCGCAAAGAGCTACCAAACAAAAATCACACAAAATCTGGGAAAATTCTCATATGTCCTAAACCAGATTTAAGATGATGGCCATATGGGAGTGATTTCCACTGGTAAGCATCATCTATGAGGTCTTAAATGGGGTCGCCATATGTAAGGCATCCGTTGGTGTCCAATGCCACAGCCCGAGCTGCCCACAACATAACAAAATGGACAACATGCCCCAATGCCCCAGCCCTTGAGATACTAAAAAAAACCTCTCACGGTCTCAATATATTTATAGCAGATAGCAGATAGCATGATATTGCCAGAATAATAACACGTAATATTGATGCCTGAGAATCCTCAAATGACCAACAAATACATTCAAATACCAGCTGTACACATCTCCTCACCTCCTCTGTTGAGGCGCTTCTGCACCATGGGAATCACCAAGTCATCCACGAATGGGGGGTTCAGCTGGAAAGCCCCAGAACGAAACTCCCTCAGTGCTGGGTGGTTCGCTCGGCCACAGTGCGGATATAGTGGGGAAATATGGGGGGTTAAGCACCAAAATAATTGGAACGAGTTGGTGCATTTCATAAGATCTATTGCCAACATTATGATATTTGGATATATTTGGGTTTGTCCAAAAATGCGGGGCATCCCGAAATGGCAATTTTACTGTGAAAATTGATGAACAACCACTGGATTTGGGGTACCCGATGTTCTATGAAAATCACTAGCCCATGGATTACTAAAATTGGCACATGACAATACCCCTTTAGGCAGGGTTCCTCACCATTCGTCGTGGTTAGGACATGCTAAAACTCATTCGGAAAATCCAAAAAAATTGATCTGATGGGTTTGTCATTGTTTTTCGAAAGTTTAATTAAGATGCCCGGGGAACCCAATTGATCTGTTCCCAAGAGCAATACGCGGCAGTTTCCTCACAAAAGTGACCAAAAATCCACCAATTAACGTGAATGATTGTGGGTCCTCCATTTTAGAAAACTACTGTACCATATTTAATGTGAATGTTGGTTAAATCCCAATTGAATCTAATTGGGCTAAACCAATGTTCATCTTTAAATCCAATTTGGATCAATTTGGTAGGGTTAAATCATCCCCGTTGCTTGATGGGTACCCGCCCCTACCCGAGCATTTCATAAAACAATATGCGTTTTTAGGCATTTATAAAATGGGTTGCCCTAAGAAAACCACATTTCAGCACTATAAAATGCATAAGGTTCTTATTAATGAAATGCCAACGTGTCCAAAACTGAAAATATCAAAATTACATTGTTTTGGCGAATTTATGTTTATTTAATGACATTATAACGATTATAAGGTTAATATTTGAGAGCTGCAACAAACACCAGTATAAAATGCCTTGATGCCAGAATCCCCCCTCAAGAAGATGTGACGCGAGGACGGGCACATGCTGTTTCAATCTCCGAGCTCCCATTTACAAACGCCTTGCTGTTCAAAATGGCAGCAAATACCATTGAACACTGCTATTTGTCATTTATGAAATGCATTACCTTTGTGTCACAGCGCCAAAAACAAAGTAAATAATCTGCCATCCATACATGACGGCCGGATTTTTGTAAAAAGCCTGGACGTAGAAAAATAACATTTGGGGTTGCATAAAACCCCGTATTCTTCTAAATTTTCAAAATCACGTTATCGTTTGTTTACTCTTATCGTTTTCTCAGGTGGTGAGTTTTCTGTAGACAAGAAGTGTGAATTTTCCATCCTCTCAAGTTGCTTCGAACCCCCTTGAGGACCATTTTAGAACCCAAATATGGGTTCTAAAATGGAATCTACAAGGGGGGTCTTAGAACCTAAAATTCTTGGCCGCTATTCCGTTTTTGGGTTCTAAAATGGGTTCTAAAATGGTATCTTCCACCCTTAAAAAAAAATTAAAAAACATTAAAAAAATCCCTGTTGAAACCATCGCATTTCAGGAAAAAAACGATGAGGAAATCTGCGCCCCCAAAAAATAGATCAACATGAGGCGAATCAAAAAAAAAATGCAAAGAGCACTCCATGATACTCCACAACATTTTTCAATGGGTGGCGGCCCGGCCACAGATGGTCGTATCACTTACTACCTATGGAACCAGGTTTTTGCCTGCGCTCTTTGCTTCCTTTCTTGCCAAACCATTAAGGTACACCCGAACCCAAATGCTTTCAGAATGTCCCCTAAGTCACCCCTTTTCAAACGAATTTAGTTGTGGACTCGTTCCATTTCCCGTGCGACTGTTTGTTTAATTTATGCAGACATGTCCAACCAAATAAATTTTCAATAAAACAGCAAACTCCTACATGCAGTGTTTTCAAAACAGTAGTGTTTTTGCGTCAAAGGAGAAAAACAAGGAACAAATCACCACATGCGGAGTCAGCAAGCAGCTGTCCAGCTGTCACTTAAAAAAATGGTAAGTTTGCCTACCTTCATCAGGACACCACTGACTGGACACTTGTTCTTTTGGGATATTTGCGGGGGCTGGGTAGCTATGGCACAGAGATGTCACCCTAGACAATGCACCTTGGCGTTTTATCTTTGGGAAGGGTTCTGGAATGGTTTCCTGCTTGGCCAAACGCGTGAAATACCAGCTACTGCAAGGGGAAACCATTTTAGAACATTTGCATGCTTAGGTAACTTTCATTTGTTCATTTGTTGCAGAGGCATTCTTCTACTTGTAGAAGAACAAAAGATGGCAGAAACAGTTTTAGCTGACTTGATTATCACTGAAATTCATTAGCATTGGGTTGTACCTGCCTACCTACCCCTGGAGGTATTTATCTTTGGGAAGGGTTCTGGAATGGTTTCCTGCTTGGCCAAACGTGTGAAATACCAGCTACTGCAAGGGGAAACCATTTTAGAACATTTGCATGCTTACGTAACTGTCATTTGTTCATTTGTTGCACAGGCATTCGTCTACTTGTAGAAGAACAAAAGATGGCAGAAACAGTTTTAGCTGACTTGATTGTCACTGAAATTCATTAGCATTGGGGTGCACCTGCCTACCTACCCCTGGAAGTTTTTATCTTTGGGAAGGGTTCTGGAATGGTTTCCTGCTTGGCCAAACGTGTGAAATACCAGCTACTGCAAGGGGAAACCATTTTAGAACATGTGCATGCTTAGGTAACTTTCATTTGTTCATTTGTTGCACAGGCATTCGTCTACTTGTAGAAGGACAAAAGATGGCAGAAACAGTTTTAGCTGACTTGATTGTCACTGAAATTCATTAGCATTGGGTTGTACCTGCCGACCTACCCCTGGAGGTATTTATCTTTCGGAAGGGTTCTGGAATGGTTTCCTGCTTGGCCAAACGTGTGAAATACCAGCTACTGCAAGGGGAAACCATTTTAGAACATTTGCATGCTTAGGTAACTGTCATTTGTTCATTTGTTGCACAGGCATTCGTCTACTTGTAGAAGAACAAAAGATGGCAGAAAGAGTTTTAGCTGACTTGATTATCACTGAAATTCATTAGCATTGGGTTCTGGAATGGTTTCCTGCTTGGCCAAACGCGTGAAATACCAGCTACTGCAAGGGGAAACCATTTTAGAACATTTGCATGCTTAGGTAACTTTCACTTGTTCATTTGTTGCACAGGCATTCGTCTACTTGTAGAAGAACAAAAGATGGAACCAGTTTTAGCTGAGCATTGGGTTGTACCTGCCTACCTACCCCTGGAGGTATTTATCTTTGGGAAGGGTTCTGGAATGGTTTCCTGCTTGGCCAAACGTGTGAAATACCAGCTACTGCAAGGGGAAACCATTTTAGAACTGCTGTATGCTTAGATAGCTTAGATAGCTTAGATATGTTCATTTGTTACACAGGCATTCGTCTACTTGTAGAAGAACCAAAGATGGCAGGCACAGTTTTAGCTGAGTTGATTATCCCTGAAATTCGTTTGTGTGTCACTACAGCTGTTTCCAGTGGGGAAATTTTCTACCTACCAATTTGCCGCTCACTTCACCTATTGGTCCTTTCGTTCAAAGATGTGGAGCTAGACAATATTTGGCCCACGCCTTTTCGGAATTAAATCAAAAGAACAGCCCAAATGCATGCAAATCTCTAGCAAATGCACGCACATTTTCGACGCGGGATTTTGCAGCCTCTTGTGACACAACATGCAAAAGCCACTTTATGTGTGCCTCAGGTGACGGCAAAAGAAGCAAACATGCAAAAAATAACTCAAAAAAAAACATGCATTGTTAGGGTGAATGCAAAGGTAAAGGTACAGCTAACCACTTCAAAACTGAGCTGAACCCACAAGTTCCCCCAGTCAGAAATGTTCTTACCATGTACTGAGATCAAGAAACAAACTGAACTGTGATTTTACGATTTTTCTACCGTGTATCTGTATAAAATCCTTCTGGGTTTTTGTGCCGAATGGCATTGGTTCGGCAATATTGTTGCGACATAGTGCAATCGAGCCTTGCAAATCACCAAAACCATAGTTTCAACAGGAGGATCAAACTGGCAAATTGCTTTCAACCACCGGCTCACTAGGGATCACAAATACCTGCACAAAACCTGCACCATATATCATCATATGCTATTATAGAAGCTTCCAAGGTTCTACAATGCTTACGGGACCGGAGGTTCTACAATGAAAATTTTTCATTCTAGAACCCTCCGTGTTTATCCCCAGGGGGGGGGGGCATTCTAGAACCCTCCAACTTGAGGGTATAATTTTCCAGCTTTCTGTGGGTGTGAAAGCATCCTTGGTCGAGAGTCAACGGATGTCATCTGTTGTTTTCATTTCCTTTCATCGCTTTTCATTTCGCATTCATTTCCTCACATGTTCCTTTCATTTAGCATTCATTTCCTTTCATGTTGCGTTCATGTCCTTTCATTTTGCTTTCATGTCCTTTCATGTTCCGTCGCTGTGTATCAAAGATACAGGTCTTCGAAAACTGATATGCTAAAACCATCTTGAACCGGTCAGGTGGGTATCCGCCCAAACGCTCATGTTTTTTCATATTTCGTTATCGTTTTTGTTATCGTTTAGCTATCGGTCTGGAGGCCCGCGCAGGTTGCCATCTTCAGGTTTCATGAACATGTGCATGTATAAGCTCGTGATCGTTTTTTTACTCTTATCGTTTTCTGGGCCGGCAATGCGTTGGGAGTGTTAAGTTGCAAGCCAAGCTAAAATGAAATGCCCCGGGTTATTATACTGTCCCATTTTTTTTGCGGGAGGTTGCATTTGTGAGAACAGTATGTGAGGAGGCATTTTGTAACACCAAATGAGTGGCATTTTGTAGAGGATCAAGCAAGGGGGATGTTAAATCCCATTTCTTGTGCGTTTGTCAGATTAAATCACAATGTGTGGGCGAATAAATCCAATGCCTTGTGGTTCATGGTTCAATCCACCGTTTTCCATGGTTAAATGCCGGGCAAACCCCCTGCCAGGGGTCCGAAAAATGTTGCGCGTAATGCGCCCAGGCACTGAAGGAAGAAGGAACCTAAGGAACCGAAGGGGGCCTCGGACGGAACAAGGCATGCCAGTCAACAGGGATTTAAAGAACAAACATGGTGGTACAATGGGGCTATGCACAGGGATATGAATATTTAACACATATCAATGTTCATAGGAAAATTTATCTGGACTTATGTGCATAATTGTGCATATATATAGAGGTAGATGATGTCACTAACCTGAAATAAGGCCCGATAGTCTTCTCGAAAGGGAGCCAGCCCCCGGCGAATGCCCAAGAGGTGACTCTTGTCCGACGCGCGCAGCAATGTCGTTGATGCTTACGTGAAACACATGCCGGCCCCACATTCGTTCTGAGCTTTCTCACTGCCTTTATCAAAAGCTTCGCCCTGTCTTGGCGATATAACCAGGTACCCTGAAAGAGCATTCGTCCATCCAAATTGGATTGCACAAATGGAGTTGTCTGGAGTGGATTGTCAGAATTTTCACTAAGCTTTTGCAGTTCCACCACCACCTGAGCTTGATTTGGAGGTTGAGGACGAATACGAAGACCTTGCACATGCACTTTTTAAACCCCTGATGTGGTAACACACGGAAAAAGCATCTTCTGTTGTAACAGCGCTTCCAAATTGTCAATAATCTTTCGTATCATAGTGCCAGATTCAGATAGTGTGAGCCCATTGCCCTTGGCATCTGAATAGGACGCTGGTTGAAGAAGACGCTTAACCTTCCGCTCATCTTCTCGAACTACTGGAACGTACAGGTTATGATACAGCATCCACGACATGGCTAACTCAATCCAACTGATCCCTCTATTGAAGCCCAAGGGGCCTTTGGGTGCTTGTTCATCACCCATCGGCCAGTGCAAGCTTCGAATCCAATCAAGTGTGGCGGTTACACAAGTTGTAAACCAAAAGAAGAGTGCATCAGAAGCTGTGTGTCATGCTCATGCGAAATGCATCTGAATGGTTCCACTTTCCAGTCAGAGAAGGCCTGAAGAAGCGCAGTTTGAGAATGTTGAACCCTGGCGGACTCTCCCTTCTTATCGCAATCTGCTAACGCACAACCTTCTGAAGCTCCAAGTGCAGCGAAAAAGTATCATACAAATGACCTCTCACAAGCAGTAAATCATGATGTCACCGTTCCATATTATCAACCAAGGAGACACGCAAGTGTTTGCATGAGTGTTTTGCCAAATCGTTGACCATCGCATTGCCTATGGCCCAATACCTTTGCAGCAAGTGTGGCGACCCATCGGTGAGCCGATGGACTTCAACATTCCTACTTATCATGTCATGCACGTGTGCAATGATCTGAGGACTCCAAACAGATTAAACCGGTTCAGGAGCGTTGAGGCAAACTGACTGCAAGGCTTCCAGTTCAGGGTGAACTGTGGCAAATGGAAACTGCGCAATCAAAGAGCCATGACATTCAAGACTGCCAACCAGCGGTTCGTAATGACACCTGACATGTTGCCCCACCGAACAGTGCAGAAGGCGGTGTTCCCTTGAATCTATGGCTTCACCGTAGGCGCATTTGTCATCTTATTCATCTTGTTCGGGCAACCATTTGGCTTTCTGATTTGCAAGTTGGAAGCTACCACCAATTTCTTTCAACAACGCTGTCCTCTGCTGCGGGTTGAATTTGGCAAGAACATTTGTGGTCTCTCTGTGGCAAATGTCAGACATGTTACAGTATGCCAAGCAGTGCATTGCGAATGCATCATGACCAGTCGCTCTTGCCATGCCTTTGCAAACTGTTCTGCCAAAAATTAAACTTGAGAAAGGCAGGGGACCGCAATACAACCTTGTTGGTCGATCTGCCAGTCAATCTTCCGCAAACAAAAAGCTAGAAACGTTGCCGTTCCTTTGACGTGATGGTGATGATTTCCGTTACTTACCATAATTCCATTGAGGTCACAGTGAGGTCACTATCATTTAGCCAGATTATATGGAAATTGATAATTAATGCTTTTTCATAGGGACATTATATATGTAATGCGCTTTTTCATAGGAACATAAATATCAATGGCATACCCTCCGGTGCCATTAAACATGGCTACTTGGAAATGGAACCAAAATAAGACAGTGTCTGTGTTTCTTCCGGCAAGCCATGTTTGATTAAAGTAGCAAGGGCGCCATGGAATAGCCATATATTTTCTATCATGTAAATATATTCAAATGTATATATATATATATATGTATCTAGATAACATTAAACACGTGTATGAATATAACTTTGCAATTATATATATATGGAACACATGTTTATGTACAGTATATAAAACGCGCATGTTTTTGTTTAACTAACCTACAGTATGCAACATCACCCATGCCACATGCTCAACCCTCCTCGAATACAGACGGGGTTTTCTCAAAATTAGAATCCCTGATAAGCCCTGGGCGCCAGGGAGCCCTGGACAGGATTGTTACTTATCACTTTCCCCTCTGAGCATACCTCTTTTGGGTAGTACAGCATTCTAATTTTGGGACACCGCCATATTTATCTTTTGAAGAATCTTGAGTAAGTACCCTGTAGTCCATTAAGATTGCAAGGAAACCATGAAAAACACCCCTTATTTCCCTTGGTTGCTACATTGTTCTTTCCTAAGTTCTTTCCCTATACGTATGAAAGCAACAGGAATCCAAATTTAAGAGGCTAAGTTTGGAAACAAAACATACTATGATATGTTATACAATAAAAAACACCAAACTACAACGTAATACACTGTGATATGTATATATATATAAGATAGTTGGATATGTGAGTTATATATGTATATATAATAGGACGGAGTATCATGTAAAATTAGAGAATGCAACATCATATCATACTACATACCTAGGGAACCTTGATCCTACGAATTTGTAGGGCATGAACTGAAACTCCGGCTTTTCCCACCTGCTTGATGAAAACCTCGGGTTTTCCCCCAAAACCCCGGGTTTTTTTAAGAAACACTTTCCAGAAGAGCCGGAAAAGCCTCTTAGTTGGAATTGCGCCATCCCAAATCAGCAAAACGTCAAGTGGGGGCTCAAAAGATCAAGACTATGGATGCCTCATCGGGTGGAATGATCGATAAAGGAAATCATCAGCTTTTAGAGCTTTTGGATGCCTTTGGACATGTGTCGCATGGACGGGGGGGATCCTATACATAAGCTGTGAGAGACCCAGCGCATTGTTTATCAACGAAATTCAGGAATCATAGTCAATAATGGCACGACTTTCCGATGCAAATATAAAAATAGGCGTGGGAAACCAATTGAGTGGGTTGTTGAGTGCCTCGGGAGAGGCTGCAGTCCGGATGGCAATTCAATTGCTAGGACCCTTTTTTCTAAAGTGGGTTGTTGTAGTTCCATTGTTTGCCTTCAAATTTTTCTGGCTCACAGCCCATTAGGAAATGGTGATTGTGTGGAAAAATATCCTTTCAAAAACTCTAAGGGGGACATATTCCAAATTATTCACCTTCCATGCATTTCAACTAACTTTAAACGTAAACTTACAAAAGAAATCCACATTGTTTTCGGGATTTAGGGGTCCCAATGCCAAATTTGTTTTCGATGATGGGAAATTATGTGTTTTGATGGTGCGTAGAAAACCCGTCCTAATCCGTAAAACACCGGGCCAAAAAAAAACTCGTTTTTTTTAACCGTAGGAAACCCGTAGAAAACCCGGAGAAAAAAGATTGGTTGTTAGGTTTGCTTTTGAAGACAACTCCAATGGGCCAAACAGTGCATTTTTCACTTCAGTTCTTGTAACGGTGCCGTGAAACCAGATTATCATGGCTGTCAACGGGAAAAAAATTGGTCGATGCTTGCTTGTTGTAGGTCAATGTCAATTGGCATAAGAAAAAGCTGGGTTTCTGGGTTTGTTGAAGTCTTTCTTGTGCATGATGCATCTTACAACATTGTATGATATTGTTTGTATATTCATCTTAAGGAGGTATAGGACGCCTTTGCTCAAAAAAACATCCCTCCCATGAGCTGTGTTACTGTTACGTCAGAAGCTCCTACTTATGCCATGACATGATGCATTTGTTCCTATTTTAAAGATGTGGTATGGTTTGTGTAATATATGTGTCCGATATACACTAGTTCTTGTGTGATATGTTGATTTTGTATGATTTTGTGTCTTTGAGGCACATTATCTAGGAACATTACTGATATCTTGGAAGCTGGTTGGATGATTTTCAGTTACACATACACACCTGCTATCACCAAAATGCTCCAAAATCAAAACCCCGGGTTTTCCCAAAAAACTCGTCTTTTTGTTGATGTCCTACGTTTTTATAGGTTTCGGGTTCTTTTGGTAGCATATCATATCATCTCATGTCCTATCTGATCATCAATCTATCAATCTATCTAATGTGCCTTATCTATCTGCAAAAAAACAAAATCATTTGCATAAAGGCATTTAGTAAATGGCCCAACCAAGGCAGCCTAACCAGATATCTGCAGAATCCTACAGAATCGCCCCAATGTTTCAGCAGTTTGCCAAGGAACGTCAGTATCCAGAAACGCCGAGCACGTCCTCAAATGCGGATGGGTCAAAACCTATGAATTTACCATATGATCATATATTATGACTAAGGAACAACCATCCATGAACCAGCTATAACTTAGGGTACAGTACCATCCGGATACATCCGGTTTTGACTGATCCAGCTGTAGGGCTTCCGCCCTGCATCTGCATGAATCCAGGCTTATGATTAACAGCATCTCCAGGAAAAAACATGGTATAAACATGGTTTCAAAGACATGGTGAAGGCTTCAACTGGCCATAACTAGCCAACTTGGCATAACTTGACAGCAATGAAAAACAGAAAAACTATTCTTTATGACTTTATGTGTATATATATATGATGTATATGATTATAACTATGTACTGTATATAATATGTATATATATATATATGACTGCCAACCAACCAAAGGGCTAAGGTTTGCCAAAACCTTGCAAGAAAATGCAGCTAAGAAGATTGCAAGCAAGTGACCAGCGATAGTGGCAATTCAGCGGCCTCGATTTATTCAAAACCTTCTCGGGTGTGCTGGTAGTTCTAGCCAGAAACATCTGGAAACCAAGAAAGCAAAGAGAAAATAGGCAACCCCCTAGAGACCTGCAGCTGCTGCAAAATCTGCAAATAATTCTGTGCATATTCCAGGTGTTTTGGAAATCCGCTTCCAGCGCTCCGCTTCTGACGAGACACGATGCGAAGCATTCGAAGCGACAACCGAAGGTTTCACGCAAAGCTTCGAAGACTTCAGAGGTGCAAGCGCCCTGGAAGCCCTTCCTGCAGGTCTGACATGGTTGTTGATATGGAGGTTTCCTATACTGAGGGTGCCCCAAAATGGATGATTTATAATGGAAAATCAATGAAATCCTATAAATGGATGATTTGCGGGTACCCCAATTTTAGGAAACCTTCATATTTAATAAGGTAGTTGAAGACTGGGCTTTGATTTCCAAGTTTTGCACGAAAATTGCACGAAACAACATGACACAAACAGCCATTTTGAAATATTTAAGGCCAACATTGCCTAACTCATTTGCAATACAGCAATGGATTGCCCAGGCGTCGCTCACTGCTCCAGGGGTTGACCCTGCACGAACAATGCTTGGTGTCCGTAGTCAAATGTAGTCCAGTTGGATTTAGCCAAGTTTCTGTAGCACGGATTGGTACCTCCAAACCGTCAGCGGGGCTCTGCTGGGCTGTGAGAATGGGTCAAAATTAGTCAAGGCCCACATCAGTTCTAAGTCCGTCTCGCCAATTTGCTGGCTGTATATATACATTAATTACTGTATATACATTTCTGGCTCAATTGCGAGAAAAAACTATGGATGGTTGAAATAAACCCCCTTTCGGATCCCCTTGACCTGCACTTCTTTTTGATTTCTTCCAAATCCTCCATAGACTGACATCAAAAAGCCCCCATGCCTGGTGGATAACACCGCTGACCTCCCCCCAGCCTCAGCAAACAGCAGAACGCTGCATCGCTGAAGGCTTCCTCTGGGCCTCGAAAGAGGCGCCACAACTTTCGCAGGTGCCACGAGGAGATCTGGACCTCCTGACCTTGTCCGGCGGCCATCCAAAAGTGTATCCATGGCAAAAGTGTATCCATATGTTTGGTCATCTTGCCATCTTGCCATTCTAGCCGGATCAAGTGTCACGATTTGTAGTAACATCTAGTAACTCTAGTATCGTTTCAAACAATTTTAACACAGTTTCCAGCAACCTTTTCCCTGTTCCATCCTTCTTTTTAAGCCAGTACTAATGGGCCTTGACCCAGCCCGGTCTGTTGGGTCCAACCTTGAAAGCTCAGCGTCACCTGAGCAAGTTCGGCTCAAAACTCGAGGGTTCCCATGGCGGAAAGGCTTTTGACCCATGATTTTCCTCAAGTAATCAGGTGTAATCAGGTGGGAGGTAAAAAACGTTGTCAAATAGTAGCCTTAGTAGCAGACAGCGAGAAATTATAAACCATCCTTTGGTATCAACAGTCAGGTCTATACAATTATACAATTAAGTGGACAACCCACTTTTATCCCACTTTCAAACTGGTTCTTGTCATGAGCATGTGTCAACTGTGATGTTTAAAATGCACACTTCTAAGTCCATGTGGATGTGCCTAAAAACCGCGGCATATCCCCCAAATTATAGTTATGCTCATGGGAAAACCATGGAGAAACGATGATTTAACGAGTGGGTTTAGAGGTACTCTGTCGGACAAACCCATGTGTCATGGCCACGGCCGTCAAACTTTCGGCCCAGTATGGCCGCCTCCTTCCCCTGCTGCACCACGGTGGCATGGCCACCGGTGGGGAGCTGCAAGAGTTTCTCCGGGAGCGCTTTGGCTTTCCTTCGGATCAGCTGAAGGTTGCGGGATGGCAGATCTAGGGTCTGGGTTGGCCTGAAACGGCGATGTACCCCTAAAAAGGAACCAGTTGTAATGGGAACATGATCGTGAACCATATGGAAAACCATCAGGTGTCGCGGGACCTATTTTCAGACAAACCTGCAAATGGATGTATATTGGTCAAACTTACTCAAACTTTGGTATACTGCAAAGATTATACCGGGTGCTTTATCACCAAACCAAACACCAATTTGCAGATGTCAAGTTCTGATATGTTCGTTCATACCCAAACGGACAAGGAAAATATCGTGAACAACATGCGAGACCTTTTGCTTGAAACCTGACGGTCTATTGTTTTCCAATATGTTCCCATTACCAATATGTTTCCATTAAAAGCCTCGATTTCATTTCGGGGATTTCCCGCCCATGGACTGGACTTCATCCTCTCAGCCACTCGATGCAGGTCCCGAGCCATGGGCGCGACCTTCTCCTTTGGAAGGAAGGCCAAGGCCTGCCGGTGGAGAAGAGTCTGGTTGAAAAATGCTTGAGTACAAATACCAACTCAACTAGCGTGATTTATGGAAAAAAATTGTTATGATTATGATTTGAAAATGGATTGTGCCATCAAAAATTGATGGGTTTAACCATCAAAAATGATGGGTTTAGTCTAGTCATCAAAACTAAAATTCGTACCTACCGACCAAAAAGCGGTTAAAATGGTGATCGAGAAAAACCCATCAACTACAGGGACGGTCCAACGAAATGTAGGATCAGAAGAACGTCTGTTATTCGCTCGATGCATAGCAACCCTGAAGAAAAATAGAAAAGTCACTGACCACTATTTCTGGTTGGTGGTTGACCTTCCCCTCTGAAAAACATGAAAGTCAGTTGGGGTTACTTTTCCCAATACACCCAGATTTCAATAGGACACATTAGGACTGCCCATTTCCATCTTTTCCAAAAAATAGGCCCCAGCCCGGTGGATACGAACGGGAGATCCGTTGCTGCACCTTCACCATTGCCGCATCCAGGACAGCAAAATCCTTGAGACCGGTTTGGCCAGGGCGAGGGGCACGTATTCTGTTGCAACCGTTGGGCGTGATGCTGGCTGTTTTCTCATTTGGAAAACATTGCCAATTCAAGCCATCACAAGACGATGTGTAAAACCAACGCTCTGGTGTCAATGTTCAAGAGACGTTTCAAATACTACGCTCAGCTCCCAGTGGTGACCCCATCATGGCCAATCTTCGGTCTTAGGTACAGTACCCGTACCAAAGATTTCTCCTGAGCTGGACATGATGCTGCTTCATTTATGGCTCAAAATCTAACTAATTATCAAACTGAATCAGTGGGGCCTTCCTCTAAATGTTATTTCCAATTCTGGAAAGCCATAGGTGTAGTTTTGTTTGGTTTTGTTGTTTTTTTTGCTTTAACATCATGCCATACTTTCCTGTCATCAGTTTTGTCTTCTTGACTTTTACCGTACATATCAACTGTGATAAAGTTTTTTCTCTAATGTGTTCAACAATACATTTCATATTAATGTGGGTAAAACATTGATAAACCACCCATTTGGGAATGGTTATACCACATATTTATGGTGCTTTGGGGGGTGGTTTATGAATTATTGTTTTACCCACACTACCCTCTGGTAAACATACAAAAAACTATTGAAAATGGCCATAGAAATAGTGGATTTACCCATTAAAAATGGTGGATCTTTCCATAGTTATGTAAACGTTTACCAGAGGGTATATCCAAACACATCCAATTCCATTCCGACCCCAGTGACCCCGTGTGCCTCAATCACCGGTAGCAAGGGATCGCGGTTACCAGGGCCCAAGCTGAGCTCCGCATGGCAAAGCCAGGCGCAATGCCTGTCGATGTGCTCAAAAATTACTACCGCGCATCTATATATAAATGTAATTGCATATGAACATATTAAAAAAATAGTGTGTATAAATATCATGTATATACATGTATATACATATGCAAATGAATATATATATATATATATATAATATTAATATATATTATAAGCAAGCAACCAAGGTCCGGATGCGTTCAACCTGGGGCTATCTACACCAGGATACCACTTGTCGAAGAACACCGGTGAGGCGGCTTTCCTTGGAGAGACCAGGTCCCGCAATGGACTAGCCGACTTGGTAGGGATGTAACTGTTGTGGATGTGACAACAGCTATCAAGATTCAAATTCATAGTTAATAGTGTTGTGATGACTTGACTAATCTTGACTACTATCATTAGGCTGTTAAATAGGAAAAAATACATTTGTTGACTAGTACAGAAGTGGGAGCCTTATTTTTTTCAGGGTAGAGCAGGCAAACCAACAACAAGTTGTGGACAGTCCATTTCAATTAGTATATACTTGCCACAGGGATTGCAAACACATGCAAAGACAAATCAGAGGTTGCTGGAGGAATGCTGAGGCACGTTGATATTGGATTGCTTCTTTAGGGGTGCGCTAAAGTCTCACCAAACAATTGTCAACCCTGGATTTCCGAAGACGGGAAAGCTTCCATGTGTCCCATATCTTTCCACCATGGCCACCCTATGGTGAGGGTCAACCTAGGGTATCAAGATAGGAAATTAAAGTCACAAGGAAAACCCGATGAACAACCCGATCCAAGAAAAAAGTACTGAAAAGGAAAAGGTCTGAAAAAAACTGTTTCACCTAGCAGGACCCATTTTTTGACTGCCCACGATCAACGGAAAAAAAAACTCTTCGGATCTCTGAAGCGATTCAGCGCTTAACATCCTGCAGACTTGCCAGGATGCAACTGATGCTTTTGACACAACTTGGCGTAGGTCTTGCGCAAGAATTGCACCGTTCTGGCGCGACATGCCTCCTGCCCGGCCGTGGGGCCCGGTGGATGAATTGATGGGCGGCGGTGCCTTGGTTTCATGATGTATCACTGTGCTGGCCCTGCCACAAGCAATCTTAAAACGGTATAATTTACAAGTATATTTATATATAACATTATATAGCGCTTTCCAACTCAATATCTATCTATGTGTATGTAAATATATATATATCTGTGTGTGTGTCGAAAAATTGAAAAAGCGCGCGTTTGATCTCCCCTACTGGCACTAGCAGACTCACATCATCTGCTTCGGTTACTTCGGTTATCTTCCAACTCCTCCTCCACCGTGGGTGCGGACACCCCCACCTTTCCCCGCAAACGGCGCAAATCGCGAGCCTCAGCCACTCGCGGGCGAAATCCAGTTGAAACATGTTGAAACCCAACACCAAAATACACAGCAAAAGTTGTCCAGCTGGGAGCGCTAAAAAGAAAAATGCAATTGGCCATAGATCTCTTCAAAAATACTGCCGAGAGCAGAAATCCTACCACTTCTAATCCAACCCAATGCTGAAAGATGGCCCTGGTGATGAGGCTTCGGCTGAAATACAGTGCCAAGGATGGTCAAAAGATGTTTATCGTAGTGTTACCTCACATTGGTGCACCTTGCACCCCCACGCCCCCCCAAACAAATTGCCGAAGATTGTTAGTGCTACGGCAAAGATCTTGACTCTGTTAAAGATCTTGCAAAGGAGGCGAACTCCATCCAAGATTGGCACTGAAGTCTGAAAAGATATGGTAGGAGATACTCTCCAAAAAATCTAAAAGGAGAAGGACATAGAAGGACCCATATATGATCTAGGAAAATATAGAAAGTATCGTCGAACGTTCACAGCTGCCCTGCTTACGGGCAGCCGCTGCATCGTCCAAGCTCTGATCCAAGTCCCAAAACCTGTCAAGCTATCGGGGAAGGGTGGTGATGGCATGTTCCATATGCGGCTGCTGCGTCCTATGCTATACTTAATGTATATATGTAATAATATGTATACATCACTCTCAAATCACTATAAATCACTATCAATTCACTATCTATCTATCTATCTATCTATCTATCCAACTAACTAACTAACTAACTAACTAACTAACTGACACTCATCAGTATGTATCCATAAAATTGGATCCTGCAACTTGGATCATGGTCAATTGGATTGTGTCTGTGTGGGGGTGTGCTTGGGGTTCTTGTAGAGAAACAAATCAAGCTAATCCGGAGATATTTCGAAAGTTCAAGACATTTTGCTTCATCATTCCCTGTGCTGATTCATGGCCCAGATTTCAGAACTAAGTCTTAAAAAATTGTTCAAGTTTGTCGTTTTGAAACACTCCCCCATGTACCTAGTGAAGGCCAAACCTCCACTGCCCAGCTCTTACATGGTGAAAACACTTCCCATCAAGTCTTGCAACTACGGCATCTGCCAATCTGCAGGTCTTCATGGGCAAAAAAAACACCGCCCAGTCAAAACATACAGCACCAAGATCCACCAAAAATTGCCATGTCATGTCATTTCTAGCATCAAACCATCCATATTTGGGGGGTCAGAAATTTTCACCTGACCCATACCCATGTGGACATAAAATGACCTCTCAACCCCAAACACCCCCAAATTCTCATTGAACATCTGAACACATAAACACACTATCAGACACACACCATATAATTACACTATACGATCTATATTTACACAATCATTATTCATTTATCATGACGCCATACATTTGCATAACAAATACCATCTATATACCATCTATTGAGTCTATTTATGGTACCATATAGTGAACGTTTCAAAACGAACACTTTTCTAGAGTTTGAAAATTTAGACTCTAGAAATGCTAAGAACGAGCGTTTTGAAAGCATTGAGAACGAAACTTATTCTACCTACCGGAGCGTGGTAGAAATATTTTGCCCCTGAGCTGGTTGGAAGAGGCTCCGTCCTAAAGCCCCAAAATCTTCTTACAGGTCGTGGGTTAGAAAGTTTCAGCCTCGGAAAACTTTGGAATTGGTGGCAAGAAGCAGAAAACTGAAGGAAAAGAGCCTTGCACAAAGAAGCGAGTTCGAAAATAAATCCGAGGGCGATCTAGGACTTCTAGGTCGGGCAAGTCCTTGATTTCGGAGCGAGGTCGGGTGACCTCGTTATAATTTGCCTAGGGCCTAGATCTCTACCATTTTTTGGCCACCCGAATGCGTTTCCACCATGCGAATCCCATCCTTGACTTGGCCGGTGCTGGCTTCAGCTTTTTGCTAGGCACCTGGCATCATCCCCAACGGTTCTCCAAGGAGAGCATATTCCCAACCTGACATGACCTGAACTGATATCAACTTGGGGTCATATTTTTGTTGACTCTTTTGAAGCATTGGGTTCACCACAGTGGGCATGGCACGGTTCTTCAATGCAAAAAAACATCTTCCAGTATCTTCCCCCAACATAACAGTGAAATGACCCTATATCCGCCGACCCCTGCCGACCGCAAAGGGGGAGCGCGTCAGAGAAGAGGAGCAAGCACAGCTCCGGTCACAGGCAAGTTTGGGAGCTGGCAGTGCAGGAAGGCAAGCACATGGAAGGTTTTGAAGCTAGTTTCTAGGCACTTCAGAAAGCAACGTTTGGCACTCTGGGCTCCGGGCCGCTTGCCCGATCCGTCCTTCACTGCCATGGTGTTTTAGCCCTGCGGGGGGTCCTGTGACCGGAGCTGTGCAGGACGCAAGCCAGCTGCAAGAGGACGCAGGCAAGTTGGGAGCTGGCAGTGCAGGAAGGCAAGCAAAATGGAAAGCTTGAATGGAAGGTTTGAAGCGAGCTTCTAAGCAGTTCAGAAAGCAACGTTTGGCAGTATTGGCTGCGGGCCGCGGGCCCGATCCGTCCTTCACTGCCATTGTGTTTTAGCCCTGCCGGAGGGTCCTGACGCGGGCCCAATCCGTCCTTCACTGACATGGTGTTTTAGCCCTGCGGCGGGGTCCTGTGAAAGGAGCTGTGCACACAGGACGAAAGCCAGCTGCAAGAGGACACGAGCAAGCTGGCAGTTGGCAGTGAAGAGTAGTAGGAGTAGTAGTAGTAGTAGTAG